AATGACAAGGAAGCTGTTCAAGGAAATGGAGGAAAGGTATCTGATGAGTGAAGAAAGATCTGTAAGGTTCCTGAGGGCTGTATTGGGGTGGGGCCTATTAATGGTTTTAGGTCTTTAATATCTTGTCACCTGCTTCTTATCCATTAAAATCAGTCTCATGATAAAAAAGTGAAATGCCACAAAAGGATGATTTTGTGGTGTTCCACAAGCTTCTATCTGTAGGGAGTATTTGGGAGCAGAGAGAACAGATGCCTTTTTGAACTTGGTAATCAGAGGATAAGATGTTATTGCAGTTCCTGGAATAAAAGGCATGAAATTATGCAGGAAAAGGTCTCATCCTTTCTAAGCAAACACAATGACACTTATGCTATTGTGGTGCTTCCAACCCAGCTTGACAAGTAATGAAATTTCGTATCTGGTTTCTAAAAGTTTGTTAAAAATCAAGAAGTATAAATTAAGATTTGAGAAGGGTTTGATTTTCATCTTAGTCAAGAATGGATAATATCATGATTCTGTGATTTCTAATTGTGCGATGATATAATTGTTGGAGCCTCAGATCTCTTTGGGAACTAATCTAGTTGATTGTATAATATTCATAATCCAGAGTTCTTGATATTATGCGAAGAGATGCACAGAAAGATCCAACAACTGAGCCAAATGCAATGCATGCTAGGCTTTTAATTAACCAGGTTAATTTATTTTCTCATCATATTTTGAATAGTATTTTGCGATGCATATGTTGGTAGGGTAATTTAGGCTGGTCAGAGTACACTGAAACATGAATGATATCTTTTTCTTCACTTTGCTTATTTAGGGTTTATAAGAATTAGGTAATTTTATTATGCTTCTGAGAGAGTATCCGATTTTGGTATAACTAACAGTTGATTGGTTCTGGACATCTCTAGGTGGATAGGAAATTGGTGAAGCAAACAGTAATGACATCAGTGTATGGTGTCACATACATCGGTGCCCGTGACCAGATCAAGAGGAGGTTGAAGGAACGTAATGCCATCGCAGATGAATCAGAGCTGTTTGGTGCATCTTGTTATGCGGCAAAAGTAAGTGATAGAAGAATTGATAGTTCTACAGTTTTACTTCTATTGGACAGAAGTATTTGCTGCAGACAGCATTAGGGTGCATAGTACTTTTCAGTCATTTTTGGAAGATGCACAACAACCTTTTCTTTTATATATGTTCTCAGGGGGTTTTTAGTGATAAAATCGTCTTTTGTTGTTTGTGCAGACTACCATAACTGCCTTAGGTGAGATGTTCAAAGCTGCACGCAGTATCATGAGCTGGCTTGGTGACTGTGCAAAGGTATTGTGCATCATCTATTTCATGATTTATATTTTGCTTAGTATAACATGCATTTGAAAGCGAGCCATTTAGTTTGTTTATATGGGGTTTGGTCCTATTTTTCACCTCAGTTATCCTATGTAGAATTTATGAATTATCTCTTGTAATAACATTCAAGATTCTCTATCTATATATATTGGGGGCAGGTTTTCTAGTTGAATTGCTTAATGATGACCAATGAATCTTCAGCATGGCAAGTTGGTTTAGGGCCCCCACACATTCCTCTAGATTATCTCTACTAATACAATAGGCCAAATTTGAGCCCTTGCCATGTGTTCAAAATAACCCCTTACTTTTGAGGTTAGTTTTATGTTGAACTATTTGAACTTTTAATGGTCAATATTGCTAAGTAAAACACTAATACAAGGTGGGGTATTATGGTTGACTTGGACCTGAGGATTGAACAGGTGGCCTATCCAGAGGGTACCCCACCAAGTTATATCTATCACATCATTGTTCCATATAGCAGAAACCAGAGGGTACCCCACCATTTAAATCTTCTAAAAGATCACTTTGCTAATGGCAACATTGTTACAAAATTACAACACCTTTAACATACAGGTGAAGGTTAGCTTTTCTGATAGTTGGTTCTGAAATCCTGTAAATCTTTATTTGTCCACATCTTTCTTGGAACCTTAGATCTTCATTTTAATCTTTATATCTTCCCTATAAAGTCGTTTTTCCAAGCAAGACTTGTGTGTTTGAACTCGATGAGAACAAGATCCCATCCATTAAGAAGGACAAACACACTGAAAGAATTGCATCCCATGTCAAGCAGGGAAAAATGCAAGTATAGCCAAAAGATAAACAAGTGATTGGGTGGATTAGAGACTTTCTTCTTGTGTTTTCTGGGCACTTAAAGACTGTCAATATCTCCACAGCTAGAATAAGAACCTCTCACGCAACCAATCACCACTTGAGAGTCACCCTTAATATGGACCATACAGAAGTACAGCCTGAACCATGGAGAAAGGGAATGAAACTATGCTAGGTTGTCACTGAGTCATCAGTTTCTGTGGACCCTTTTGAGTTTTTATTCTTATATTTCTCTCTTTTTTTGGTCCATGATAATTATCATTAGTTTGTTAGTTTGTAAGGTTTTACAATTGCTGTCCACTAAACTTCAAAATCCACCAGATAATTGCTTCAGAAAATCAGCCAGTGCGTTGGACCACCCCTCTTGGGCTGCCTGTTGTGCAACCGTACCGCAAATTAGGAAGGCATCTTGTAAGTGATCTCTGAAATATCTGTTTAGATGTGCACTTACATGGTTTTATCAATGTCATTGTTGCATTCTTTTCCTGTGAGAAAACTTGGTGGCTATTCTAAATTGTTTTTTTCTTCCTTTTTTGTGTTGATTGCAGATTAAAACCTCCCTTCAGGTTTTGACACTGCAGCGGGAAACTGACAAGGTAATTATTCAATCTGCTTTATCATCCCTCTTCCCCCACACACTCACATGCCTCCACCTCTGCACTTAACTCCCTTTAGATTCTAATCTTGGGACCTTAAGCAGGTTATCAATGTGTTTGAGCTTACTATCAAATATAGCTCATAAGTTTCACATGCAAACAATTGAATTTTTAAACTATTTTGTTCTAGTGTTGTAGACCATAACGAAATAGGGTATCACTGATCAATATATACAAACACAGGCACCTGTGCATCTTACTCCATAGAAACATCAGTGCACCTATTTAAATGCGCTTTATATTTAGAAACATTTTTCTAATAAAAGAATTTCTGGATAGTTTCTTATTGTTGGTGACCTATGATATTTCCTGTCATGATTTATACCCTTGCTTCTATGGTTTATCTCCTTGTGTACATTTTGCAGAGTTGCAGTGCTAATCATTTTTTTGTTCTCTTTCTGTTTTTTGAGCCCTACTATCACAATAATTGATGGTTTTGCCATTTCGATCATAGTAAATATATGCCATGTACTGATGTACACCAACCTGCACCTTCATAAGAGAAAAATACAAATGCTAAATCTTTCTGACATTCAAAACGATAACTGTCTTTGGACCCTGAGCTTATGAATCATGTGGTAAGTAGCCAAATATTTCTTCCAAAATTCCTCTTCAGCGTGCTTTTAGTTCCCCCTTGAAATATATACCATTATACCTCATTAGATTTAACCAGAGTGAAGCACCGCACAAGATTTTTCAGCCAGAACCCTTTTGTTATATTTACTGCAGTTGCTTCTTTACAAAGGATATATGAGAGTAACTTTTGTACTCTACATGGGATTAGTGAGATAAAAATTCCAAGATTACTTTATGCATTGGGTAATGACAATGTGTATATTCACCAAACGTTTCTTCATGATCTATTAAAAGAAACTTTGTTAAATGCAAATATGTAATTAGCTATGTCATCCAACCACTTGGGGAAAAATTGTATTTATGTCGGGTGATAAATTTTGTAAGAACAACGACAGTGCCAGACTTTAATTGCATCTTAGTTGTATGTGCCTAACATAGATTGATAACTTGTTTTTTGTCTTTCTGTTTTTTTATAAAAATTTTACCATGTTATTGATTGTTGGAACTGACTTCTTACCATTTATTTCCTGTGCCATAATTTTTCCTGTAAAAGTATTTCCTCATTATTGCTTTAACTATTATAGGTCATGGTTAAGCGACAGAGAACAGCCTTCCCACCCAACTTTATTCACTCTCTTGATGGTTCTCATATGATGATGACTGCAGTTGCTTGCAAGAGGGCAGGCTTAAACTTTGCAGGTTTGTAGCAATCCTCATCTTTTCGTTTACTATTTCTGACATTTTTATTGCATCTGACCTTCCCTAATTACAGGAGTTCACGATTCATTTTGGACACACGCATGTGATGTTGATGAAATGAACAAGATACTCCGAGAAAAATTTGTTGAACTCTATGAAACACCAATCATGGAAAATGTAAAGTATTTTGCATTCTTAAATGTTTAATTACAACTTGGGTAGAGAAGCTACTCTTGATTGAAATTCAACTTTGTGAAGGCCAAATCCTCTCTAATCCAATACCTTTTCCATTTATTTTTGCCTTTTCTTGTGAAAAGATTACTTATTTGGAGGAGATGGTGAATGTGTACTCTAAAAATCCTATCCCAACTTTATGGGATTTGCTATAGGTATCCTGTTTTATGATTCTTTGTTAGTGGATGGTGTCAAATCCTTCTACTGGTGCTGTCTCTTCACAGTTCTAGCATCTAAAATGGTACTGGAATGTGTATATTACGTAGTTATAATTGTTGTAATTCTTGGATTGAAACATGTCAACTGAAGGATCTCTAACCATGCATTAACATTTATAAACATCAATTTTTATTAGCTATAGGTATTGCCATTTTTTCTTCCAAATCATCTAGCTTGTATGTATCAAAAAAAAAAAAAATAGTGCTAAAAAATACAACAGAAAATAGCTTGTCAAACCTAACAAATAGCATATCCCTACAAAGAATTACCCAGTTACTTTGGTCAACCTCCCAGGGAGGCACCGGTATAGAACTCCTTATTCTATGATACCCAGATACCTGATATGGAAACAATATTCTGTATATTCTTTATACTTGATATGACACTGGATACTGCATCAACACTTGTATATTCTTTATACCTTATAGCATTAGCACTTTTAAAATATGTACATGTTAGAAATTTAATTAAACTTGGCAACTCGTGTCTGTGTTAGTATCCATGTCTGAGTATCTTAGTCCTCCCTAGCTAGGGAATCATCTAAAACAAGGTATTCATACATATGTATGTTGCAGTATATCTATTCTCATTTAAGTTTAATTAGATAGAAATTGGTTAACTGTTTATTGGAAACCCAAAGCCATATTAATAATAATGTTTTTCATCACCTGCTTGCATATGCAGTTGTTGGAGAGCTTTCAACAGTCCTTCCCAGCATTAAGTTTTCCTCCTTTGCCAGAGTGTGGAGATTTTGATCTACATGAAGTTCTGGTGTCACCCTACTTCTTCAACTGATCTGCAGCTTATGCCTTGCTACATCATACTTAGTTGCTGCATCATGATTCTTACCAGTATTCTCTACCTCTGCTGTTAAGTTACAAGGCAATGGAGGCTTTGTTTGCATGCTTTCATCCATGGGCTAGCAAAGCATATGCTGAGTTTCCTAGAAGTAGGTTGTGTTTTTAAATAGAGGTTGTGCTCAAACACAATTAAAGATACAGTTTGCAGAAGGCAGTTCCCTAGTGAATCCAGCTTTCGCGGCTGATATTTGGAGACATGACAAGAAAGTGAGAAACTGACCAGCTAACAGGTAAATGTTACCCAGTACATGAAGAGGTTGGAGGAAATACATAACATGGGAGTGATCTAGCAGCGATGGTAAAATGACTCAAATAAACATCACCTACAGTTGGTAATTGAATGAAGCAACTTGTCTTTGACAAGGTTCAGATTGGCGTAAAGCAAGAAACCAAGGCATCAGAGATATCAGCGGCGAAACGCCATGTGAAAGTGCATAATGGTCTGGTTCAAACTGATTAAAGACCGCCAATTTTCAACTTCTAGACTAGTGTACATCTTCCAGAACTGCATCGAGTGTAATTAGTTTAGCACCTTCCATTTTTCAAATTTAGTGTTGTTGAAATACCGCATCTAGTGTAAATAGTGGTCCTTTTTTTTTTTCCTTTTTAAATTTTAAGGGTGTAAATAGTGGTCATAAGCTGTGGTTTACATGTATACTTATGTGGTATTCTGTGCCAATACGGCAATACTTGAAGCTAGTATGGGTGGATACCTACGTATCTATTTAATATAAGTTTTCTTTCTATTTGTTAATTATTTTTTCGACTGTGTAACAGCAAAATTGAATTAGGCGTTGTTACAATCCATTGGTCCCACATCGATAGTATGGGATGCTGTTGTGGGGTCTGTCTGGTTCCCTCCGTCTAACAGCTAGCTTTTAAGGGTGAGTTTTCTTAAGGCACATAACAGATGGTATCAGAGCCTACATTATGCCTCTCAGTTGCAATCATGTGGCACAGATGGTGATGTTGGTATTGCAGTGTTCGGCCGAAACTAGGTGGACTAATGCAAAACCAGTCTACATGAGCATCGGAACTGCAGAGCATGGTGGAATGTTATGATCCATTGATCCCACATCGGTAACATGGGATGCTTGGTAGGGTGTATGTGTCTGGATTCCCTCCCTCTAACAACTAGCTTTTAGGGGTGAGTTCTCCTAAGACACATAACAAGCGCCATATTGACAAATTTGAAAAAAAAAAAACATCAATTTAATGATACAACCCATGACCATTCCCAAATGCAAAGAAAGAATGTTAGTTTAAAAGGATATTGATGAAGGGAAATTTGGCCCGACCTCGTGATCGCCCGACACGTGGCAAAGGCAAGCAGCTCGGGACAGTAAAGCACCCAAAGCGAACATCGGAAGCAAGTCCAAACTTACTACTGAGCCCGAACTCCAGACCGCTGTACTTAGTCCGAGCTCCTTGTTAAGAGAGCTCCCTGTCAAAGGTCCGAGCTCCCTAAAACCCGAGCTCCCTAAGTCCGAGCTCGGTACTAGGAGCCCGAGCTCCTTGTTAAGAGCGAGCTCCCTGTCAAAGGTCCGAGCTCCCTAAAACCCGAGCTCCCTAAGTCCGAGCTCGGTACTAGGAGCCCGAGCTCCCTAAAATCCGAGCTCCCTACTAGGAGCCCGAGCTCCCTGTTAAGAGCGAGCTCCCTATTAAGGGTCCGAGCTCCCTAAGAATCCGAGCTCCCTATTAAGAACAAGCTCCCTACTGGGAGTCCGAGCTCCCTATTAAGAGCGAGCTCCCTACTGAGAACCCGAGCTCCCTGCAAGGAGCACAAACTATGCTGGGCCCCAAGCCTCACAAAGCTGACCCGAGCTGGCCCATGGCAGCTCGGAACACTCCAAACCGAACTCAAGGCACCTCGCTCGCCACTCCAACACTTCACTTCCAAAGCACCAGGCCAGCCAAACGTACCCGACACTAAGGACGTCCGTATCCGAGGGCGACGCACCTGACTGATTTGGGATCTGACGCCTGACAGCCGCATTTCAATTGGTGCCCTGCCACCGCCACCTGCAACCGTCATCACTAGCCGCAGAGACGGCTCCGACAAAAGGAACAGTGGCGGTCCTGTCCTGCCAGAGGAAATGACACCCGAAGTGGCAGGAGTTCAGAAATAATCATGCCCGACCTGACGAAAGCCTGGAAGTGAGTGCGCGAGGTGGTTATAAAAGGCTTCTACCCCCCAGGAACGAGGTATGCTAACTTTCGCACTATCTGGTTATTCTTGCCTTTGAAGGATTCTAACTTGAGCTTCGGAGCCCTTACGCCGGGTTCTCTCCGGAGCTTCGCTTCTCCTTCCGTTTCAGGTCCCTATTACTTAGTTCAGAGGCAAGATCATCGACAGCTAAGACCGGCCAGATTGTGCATCATCAGATATGACTCCAGTCTCCGAGCAGTCTAATATAATTTTCCTTTTCTTTTTCATCGTGTGACCACAATACATTGTATAAAAGATGGCTGGATTAAAAAAAAAAAAAAACTATTTTCTTATGGAGGATTACTGGTGCTGGGTTTATTGATTATCGACATGGTAGGATCACTAAAACGGACTAATCGTATGAACGATTATGCACGTTTTATAAGCAAACAATAGCCTGACCACAACTTTAGGCTAGTTTTGAGCTATCATCATCATATATTCATATTCACCGGAAAAAAAACAATGCTCACCAAGTTTTCAAAAAAAAAAGAAAAGCATTTACATTTATTGCACACGACATTTACATTGAAAAAGAGACGTTTGAATCTAACGCAATCCTGAATCAACACACCTCTACATATCAAACTCAAAGAGCAGTACAAGAATTTATTCTCTTTTAGACCAGCAGAGCAACCCAACTTAACTATTGAGTTGAGTTTTCTTGTAATTTGAACCGATCAAACCATCCCAGAAAACTCTGATTTTCTATTGGATTCCAATTGATCTTGCTATTCTTAGTTCTTTCTGTGCATATCACCGGTCCACCGTCCACGTTTACTCTCCTGAGTCCTGACCACCGAAAGTTCAATCGAACAGGGGAAGCTATCAGGCACGTGGTGACGAGTTCCTCTTGAACATAGCATAGGCATCACTATATATGGCCACCACATTCGAGAAAACCGCAAGAACAATCATGAAAACAGACAAGAACTTGTCCTTCTTTGTTGCTATGCCATGAGGGTCCCTGAAACAATCAAGAGATACGAAACAAGTTAGATTATCATTCTTATCCAATGGAATCATCCAGGAAATTCAAGGGCATTCCAAAGTTTGAATCAGCAAGAGAAATTTTCGGAGAGAAAGAGAGAGAAGCAAGTAGAAATAGCAAGGGGTAAAGAAGCAAATCTATCCATCATGAATTCATGCTGCATGTGCATGTGCATGATGACCCTGTAATTATTAAAATATTACAATTTACTATGTGATTTATGATTCAAATTGTGAATCTGAAGTGTTTCAATTCAAGTCTTATGATTCAGTCCTTGTCTAAAAAATTCTTATGATTAATGTTTTAAGTCTTTAAATTCCTTTGTTTCTTTTAATTTTCAGAAATAATTACCAGTAGGTTAAAAAGGCACATATAAACCTTAACCTGACTGTTGCAACAAACAGACTTGCAGCAACTACACAACAAATGTGCTTGAAAGAATATCATTTATAAAAGATGAATTCTCAATTACAAGGCCTGGAATAGTAACAATACAAGTGCAAGGTTTATGAGACAGGCCTTTGACATGCCTTGCAACCACAAACTTTTTGAGGGGGTTGGGAGGTTTGTGGTACGTGTAACCTTGGTTAGCAAAACCCCATTAATGCTTATGGTTTTTTAATATGAAAGTAGGAAATTAAAATAAAGAAAACAAGTAATTGATCAAGTTTTTACTGTTTATTCATCAAACACTTCTTTTATGGATAACAATCAAGTTAATCATAAAGACATAAAACACAAGTTTGCCTTGGTGCCTTCTTGATTTATTTGATCTGTAAGTTTCCCAGAAGAAAATAACAAGCTGAGACATCACCACTATCGCTTTTTATGGAGAAAGCATTGCCAATCAAATTTTCATTTGATTGACATGTCTCACAGCATAAGATATCATAACATCAATGAGTGAATGCAGCATTACACACAGGAAAAATGGCTATTTTCTATGTAAAACTACAGCATGCCATCCAAAATGCAATAGCTTGCCTCCTACGAGTTCCAGACATAAAGTAAGTTAACTCACCTGAGAGCGATGGCAGCAGGAAAGATGAACCCTATACACACAGCAGCTGTTGCTCCAGTGAACTGGAAGGCATCCCAAATGCTAGGTATAAAATTTGAACCCAAGAAGATGAGAGAAATGAGACCTATGCTGATCAGTGCAAATCTTTGGTTGTCCAAAACCAAAGGCCTGGCAGAGGGAAAAAGGAGGCCATCCAAGTTGAGCCGCAAAGCAAAGAAGATGATGGGGAAAACAAGCATGAGGTGGATGACATAGCTAACGCGGACTGCATCGTTGAGCACTGAGCTGTATGGGATACCAAGATTGGTATCAAAGTTTGCAAGGACATCATCAAGGGTTGACTCACCAAAAAGGAGGAACCCAAAGAAGCTCGTTGTTATGTACACAGTTGAACACAGCGCAAGTGAAGTTCGCACAATTGGTTGGATCTGGGAAGAGTCTTCAAGTTCATTGTCGATTGTGTGCACTACAAGAAGTTGAGGAAGTTAGACACACCAACCAAGCACATGCAACAATTAATTCAGAAAATAAACATCCCTTTTCACTTTTCAGTAAAGTACACAAGTCTCCATTTGTTTGCATTGCAATTTCATTTGCACCAGTACAAATTAGAAAACTGTAAATTCTGATTCTCTTTTGCTTTGGGTTTTACTTTGCTTTGAGTTTTATTTTAGTCCATTTGCATTGCAAACAAACTAAAGAAACCATACTTTGCATTTATCTCATTTGCATTCCCATACTTTTGCATCAGTGCAAATGAATTTGCATTGTGAACAAACTTAGGCCAAAGAAACAAAAGGAAAAAAGGAAAGAAATATTGTGCATGAAGCCGTGAACCCTTTTTTATGTTCCCTGAATGCCAGTTATGCAATTGTTTTCATATTAGAAAGATAATGCAGTTTCTATTTCTAGCTTGCATACCATTATAATGGCAGATGTATGCTGTGACAAGGACAGGAACCACGGTGAAGAGTTTCCAGAATGACGTCATATCAGTAACATTAGGAAGCCACCTGGGCATTGCAATACTTCCACTTATCAACTTGACAATCGTGATTCCCACAGTAATAACAACAAATGCGATAGCAAGTGCGACTGATAAGGCAGATGTGTATCTCAATGAATCTGCACAATAAAAGAATATGAGATTTCTCCTCTTCACCAACCCCACCACAAAAAAAAAAAAAAAAAAAAAAAACTCTGAATACGGTATAACATTATATATTCAACATCTTCAACAAAAATATTAAGTACGGGAATCTAGTCAGAAGTCACCAAACAAAATAAAAACTACCATCTATGAGAAAAGGTAAAAAAAGTTTAGAATAAGTGAAAAGCCTACAAGCATTAAGAAGATTAGTTTTGCAATGACACATTGTTTGATTTCACCAAACAATGGGTACAAGAACAATTAAAAGCTAGTCAATAGACCATTTAATTAAATAAAGAATTAATTTCTCCATTTATATAAACTGAATAACAAACATGACAACAAATCATATATATATCTACTACTACTCTGAATTCCATATTTGCAATTTAACTTTTAGTTGTGAAAATCTGGAAGTTCGAGGCTGGAGGTTAAAACCTAATACAGGAAGGTAGTAATGCCTTGTCTCATGCCATTAATAATCAAAAATAGCGACAAGATATTGGAAGGCCTCTAGGGATTCATCCAGTGTAAATGCTAAGGACTTAAGGAGTGTGGATTTAAGGACTATGCCCTTAAATTCATCTGGAATAAAACTTAAAGTGAATCAGGAACTGCCTACCACAAGTCAAACCACAAAATTTGAACCGAATCAGGATATTCATGGGGTTCACAATTCTTCAATTGATAATAAACCAAACTACAAGGATATCCGAACCTACTGAAATGGACTTAAGAATAAATTTTAGAATAAAAATGGATATCAGCAATAAAAACTATTGCCATTAGCATACTAACCAGATACAGCAATTGAGAAGGGTAACTCCTTACTCCCACAAACAAAGCGTTTGTTAGATATCTAATATTAAATTAATAGAAACATGCTTACCTACACGCTTAAAGCATGCCAATGGAGCAAATATACCAAGAGTTGTGACGAGCAGAATAAAGGCGCGACTATTCCACCAGTGTGCTCCAAACCAGCCTTCCAAGAGACCAGAATGGTGAACTCCACTTGCAGATGTTCCAGAGAGCACATCACCTTATAATATAAGTCATCAAAACAATTAGATCATCGATTATTATCCACACAACACATAATGAATGAGGATTGTTGATTGATTTGAGGGTAATAAAGGAAGAACAACAATTATTTGCAAAGACCCTTATCTTTCCACATCCAGAAGCAACAGATGAGAGCAAATCGAAGTTAAGACTACACCAAGTGAAAACCTAACATAAAAAGGAGGGGAAAAACCAAAAGAAGAAGAAGAAAGATGAAAATTATACCAATAATAATCATGTACACGATAAGCACTCCAACGTTGTTGATGACAACACACATCTGCAACAGCATCCTACCAATCTTCCCAAAGGAGTCTCCCATAACTCCTCCATATGAAACTGTCTTCCCTGCTTTGCTGAAACGGAGCAACATCTCAATGGAAGCCTCCGTAAGGAACGCCATGAAGATGATCAAAGCTATTCCTGCGCCAAGACCTAAAATTTTCATGGTCGCAGGCAAAGCCATGATTCCAGCACCAACGATGGTGGTTGATAGATTAAATACAGCCCCGCCAAAGGAAGCTCCATTAAATTCATGGAACTCAAAATCTTCATCTTGTCTTCTCGGCAACAAAGGAGCTTTTTCGTCAATAACCTGTTTGTTCTTTCGTGATGATCTCTTCTCCTTCACCGCGGCAAAGTTTGCAATAGTCATTTTATTGATGTAGGTTTCCCAACAGAATTAGTATTTACAAGAATTTTTGGAATTTACAAAAAAGAATTTTAAAAAGAAGGAACTTTTACGGAGAGAAGGAACTATATAGAAGGCTTAACTCAGAACCGCGGAAGAATTTAACCTAGAAAGCTAGAAATCTAGCCCAAAAACCAAGTTCAATCGCTATCTATTGTGCTTAAAGCTGCAAAGTATCAGAAATGCTTAGTTGGAAGTTGGAACAAGCTTCTAAATCTAAACTCTAGAACTCGAAGTACCATGAATCAAAACGGAAGATCGAAATTTAGGTTTGAATTATAGACGAGAATGGCTCAGAGTTTGAGTGGATTGGTTTGAAAGAATTGGCAAGCGGAAGTTCGACACTTGGAACTGAAAAAACCCCAAACCGTTCAAAATCCAAATCTTGTTAAGGCCTATTGCTCCCTAACCATCAAACAACAGAGATCAAATAATCCGAAGATCTGAACTACTTCGGAATCAGCTCGCAGTCTCGAAATAGTGCAGTCGAAAGATCCTAGAGCAAACCCAGGGATTACGAATAAGAATTCCCGAAACCAGGAAACGAAGAGATGGTAATAAAACTTGGAAAAACAACAAATTCTTTAACCAAAACGGTTATAACCAACATCTTTAATGCAAAATCCAGCACAAACCACGAACGAGATGGGGAACCAGGAAAAGGGAAGAGAATTGATTCTGAACCCTTCCTTCAAGACCTCCCCTTTCCTTTCGTGATATAAAGACCTCAGAAAAGAGCCTCACGTATTGTTTACGTTCTACGGTTCTCATCTACGATTTGATGAAACATAAACGTCACTTTTCCACGCAATGGATTAAAGTGACCTCGAATTTGTCGTCTCTCTTCGTTTCGAACTGTAATTCAAGGTCAATTGATCGATTTTTACCGGACCCGACGAAACAAAGATGTCTCCGTCGACGTCGAAAACCCTAAAAAGCCATCAAAAGGAAACTCGAGAGAGACAACAGAGAAGAGATAAGCCAAAACCGAAACGCTGATACTGTTTCTGCGTTAATAAGGCTCAGAATCTCAGATATTTTGGGGGGAAAAGAGTGAATTACAATTTTGCCCTGATAATTCTGAATAATTTTATGGAGATGGGATGGGCTGATCAGATCAGGAGGCCTCCAAATGTAAAAACCCAAATATCCAACCCCGCTAGGCCGCTAGTATGAATGTATGATTACAATTTACAAGCAGCAGCAGCAGCAGCAGCAGCGCGGCTGCGGGAAAACGAATTGACGACGTATCCGCTAAAAATGAGCGGTGACGTGTTTGAAACTACTTGGTGTAGCCACATCAGCCCTTCAAGAAGCCAAAAGCACATCTGGATCTGGTTGCTCCACCAATTCTGTATAAAAAAGGAAACCATCTCGTCTCGTAGGGACGGCAACGGCAAGGCATAGACCAGTTGACCACGCTATATAAATATTTTTGTCTTCTTGTACATAAACCACACCACACCACAATTAAGATGGGAAACCGGAAAAAGGGCTTTTCATGCTAAGACTCGCCTAACCGTCAGAGGTTGCGTGTGAATATCCGACTCTCCGTTCAATTCAATGATGAAGGGGCATTTTTTGTAATTTCAATTAACTCCAAGACCTTTTTTTTTGTCTTTGTCCGGAGAATAGCTTCCAACGTATCAGAATTCCGAAGGCCAGAACCAGGAATGGTCAGGCTGGAAAAGACTAGTCCAAGAAGTATATAATTGCTATTCGTCAGACTCGAATAATAAATAAACTTTTTAAAAATTAAAAGCATGAATGAAAGGGCAAACCTGCACATACCAACCAAAAATTGTAAACTGCAAATTGCAAAATAAAATTCGACAAATTTTGTCGTGTCATAAGCTAAGCCATTAACTTTCATTCACGTGTCATACGATGATACTGTCTGCCAAGTGTACCACCAGTATTAGAAATTTAAATTTGGGAAAAGAAAAAAAGACAAAATACGCTGTTCAAGGATGGGCATGCTTGGGCAATAATGCAAAACGAGTAATATAATATGAAAATATGGTATACTAATTAGCTTAGTTTATAAAAGCACGGTCACGGTTTCGCCACGTGTATCTGACGTGTGCAGACCCAAAAAAAAAAAAGAATACCCTACTATCTAAGCAAGGTTCTTCATTAGTTAATTAAAACAATAATTTACGCTGCCACGGCTAATCGTATTGCCTGCCTGCCTGCCAAGCCAGGCCTGTTCATCTGGACCACTCAGATCCTTTCTATATTTCATCGGACACCCTTGAAACAGGATCTCTTTTATTTTGTCCGTTACTATGCCACTAGCCATACAAAAATGTTTTCTTTAGGTTTAGGGGGGTCTACATTGCTCATATATTTGAGTCATGCAGATGCAGATGGACAGTGCCGTTGGGCCATGGCAGTGGACCATTCCTACCATTGAGTAGTACACTAAAAAAAACATAAAACGCTGACGTTTGATAAAGTCGGTGAGATCGGGCATGAATCTCAACCACAACGTATGAGGTGGATTTGATCCTAGTAGGCTAGTACTACTCATGCTTGGTGGGCCCATTTGATTTGATACCATATATAAAAGGGAAACAGTTCTATAGGAAGGTCCCACTACCATTAGCTATTGGATCATATACATCAAACCTTCTCTAGTCTATAGCATACAAAAAATCGCCCATTGATCCGTTGATCACGACCTTTAATAAGTCACAAGTTCACTTATTGAGAAGTTGCCATGTGACAAGAATTGAGACTAAAATCTATGGGCAGAGGATGTGACCCCAAAAGTTGTAGTCATCCTGATGAAGGGTGATTTGGCACGACCTAGCAAGAAGGGGACACGTAGGTGTGATCTGATCGAAGGGTGATAGCTCAATCAGACAAGCCCAGTTCGTAACATTTGGAGTTTGGGTATTCATCCACATCGGCCCAAAAAATCACCTCGGTGTAGATATACTTCAACACCCAATCCAATTCGAGACTAAAGAATCGAAGTGCCAACTCAGAGCTAATGAGTCGAAATGCCACTTAACCGACTCCAAAGGCCTCCCCAACAGATCCCGAATTTCTCGAGATCACGATGAGAACTCGTCCCGGCTCCGCCTGAATCGGAGGTAAACGATAAACCTTATCAACATATTACTCCCCTTCAAAAACGGAACAAACCTCATCCCACAGCCAGGAGATCCTGGAGCTCTTTCGTAAGGCCCACGACTACTCCAGTATATAAAGACATGAAACCTCAAGGCAAAGGTATGTGTGATTGTTCTACTCATTAGCACTCAAATTCTCAAACATTCAGCTCGCATTTACAGCATAAAATACTGACTTAAGCATCGGAGCGACCTTACCGGGTTAGCTACCCCAGGTTCTCTGATCCACTGTTTTGCAAAACGGTCCAATTCGCCGCCCAATTGAAGTTCAGATCGCCATCCAACTAGGAGTAGCCAGATCGCGCACCATCAATTGGCGTTGTCTGTGGAAATTCGACCGAAAGGTCATCCCTAATTCTTTATAGTTTCAAACTCAATCGCAACCGCAATGGCATCTTCCAACCACACCGGAAAAAGCATCGAGATGAACGTCACCGGGGGGCAAGCTTAGCAATCAACCTTCCTCCAAGGTCCTACGGTATGTATCGGCCAGTTCACCATTCTGCTCACAATGTCCGGAGTCCCATCATTGTCTGCACCATAGAGCACCTTGCAAGTGAGTGTCCCACTTTCCCAGTGGTAGGTGCGACTTTCTCTGAGCCATCCGTGGTTCCCCCTGGAATTGGGCATTCCTACTTTCATGACCACGTCCAGTGCGTTCGGGCAATTCAGATCCAGATGCAGCAGGTCCAACAGTTCCAACAGTACCAACAGTACTATTTGTACCAGCAGAATCAACACTAGTTCCCTCCACTACAACCGAACCAGTAGCCAGTTCCACCCCGGCACCTAGGGCCCCGTTAGGGCCAGAACCCGAATCGGCCTGGAACTAACCAGAACATCAGCCGATCTCCCCATCGGGGTGTAGAGACCTCACAAGTGTACCGATTCCTCTCAGGAGTCGGGTTTCACCCTGTGGGAGGAGAGATGGTTAGCACACTCCTCCAATCTCGCAAGGAAATCTCAAAAATAGGTATGGGGATAGTCAGCCCAATCCGCCTCGGTACTCCTAGCAAGAAAATGATAGCTCGCGAGCAGATAATAACCAGTTCGGAGTTTGAGGTGCGATCTCGAAACAAGACCTCTCTGTCCATCGCGATAGCCAGTTCGAGCCCCACAACCAAGAGAATCCAACGAGAAGGAACCAGGATCTACCTCGCGACAAGGCCGAAGTACCAGACAAGACTGAAGTCAACAGCACCAACGCTGAGCCGGTGAAGAACCAACAACGGTGACGTCGCAAAACACGCCACCCCTCGGCCAGGAACAGCCCGCCGACGAAGCCAGGCCAGCAAGAAGAGCAAGCTAAAGGAAAGGAAGAAACGAGCTCAGTGACTACGAAGACTGTGCCTCCACTACTTTGTTGGTCATCCCCTCTGTCTCCCGAGCTCTTGGTAACTCCAATGCCAAAAGATTTTAAGATGCCTCCATTAGACAAGTATGACGGGTCGTTTGACCCCAACAACAATGTGGACTTTTTTCAGTCTCATATGCACCTAGCTGGGGCCGATGAGTCCTGCATGTGTGTGGCCTTCTCCACTACGTTTAAGGGGGTAGTCTGAACTTGGTATCGGAACCTCGCGTCGGGCTCCATCGAAAGCTGGTCCCAGATCGCCAACCTGTTTACTATGCACTTCATTACCAACAAGAAGTGTCTAAAATCATAGGAAAGCCTTCTGAACGTGGTTCAGAGAGAAGGATAATCAATTAGAAGCTATATAAAGCACTTCAACGACACTTGCTTGCAGATACCGGACCTCAACCCGGCGGTACGCCTCACTACAGCAAAGAAAGAAATCACCCATAAAGAGTTTAAGTGGCATGTGGTAGCTAACAAACCAAAGGACATCATCGAATTTCTTAAGTTAGTAGATCAGTTCATCGGTACCGAGGAGGAGATCAATCAAAAGATTGACAACCCACCGCCGAAAAAAGGAAGAAAGAGAATGAAGGAACGAGTAATGGTGGGCAGAAAAGGAAGAAAATCAAGTCCCCGAGCAGGGGAAGAAGCAAGTCAAGAAGCGGATCCCCCTCGCGAACTCGCAAGTCAGGTCAGCGCTCCAGGACCCCACCTGTGGAGAGAATGAGCTACACGCCTTTGAACGCTAAGAGATGAGAGATCCTAATGGCTATTAAGGACTCCTCTTTCGTCAAATGGCCTCCCAGGCTAAGGGGAGACCCAACAACAAGAAACACAAATGTTTACTGCCATTTTCATCGAGATCATGGACACAACACAAAGAATTTCAGGAATCTCTGCAATGAGATCGAGGAACTTATCCGCCGCGGATACCTGAAGAACTTCATCTTGCAAGAAGAGAGGGGACAAGTAGATCGACAGACAGATCGACAGGGGGAATAGAGGAGGAGTGGCCCCAAGGTCAACATGCAGAATGAGCAACCACCGTGACAGTTGCCAAAGGAAAAACCAATCCGTAGGGTAATTAACATGATCACTGGCGGGTCCATCATCGTTGGGTGTACATCAGCAGTCGGGAGGACCTCAGTCTGTGAGTTAGAGAATGTAGGGGAGAACCCGCTAAAGTGACATCGGCTCGAAGAACCGATCTACTCCACTGAGGACGATACGCGCGGGTTCCAGTACCCTCACGATAATGCCTTAGTGGTGAAGCTAAGAATTAATGACTTCGAGGTAAAACACATCTTGGTAGACTCAGGTAGCTTGGAAGATATACCCTTTAAGAAGACCTTCGACAAACTACAGTTACAGCAGAGCGACCTGAAACCGGCAGATACTCCTTTGGTAGGGTTCAACGATGAGGAGGTCAGACCTCTTGGTCGAATCACAGTACTCGTGGAAGCCGGCACGTGG